TAACTATCATTAAAATAAAATAATCATACCACAATAAAATAAAATAAATCATAATATACCATAAGTTAATAACATACTTATAAAACAATAATAATAATATCAATGACAATAGTAATAAGTGTCAATATCAACTAATAGCATTAATAATATAAACAGCAGTAAAAACTACTGTACCATTCTTCTAATAATGATAAAAGGTGATAATGATAACAATAATTCGAAGAAAAATTATGACAATAGTAATAAGAAATAAAAGTACTGCTGATACTGCTTCTGATCCTGTTTCAATAATGACACTGACGATGAGGCTTTTGTGCAATAGCAAATACCCACAGACCTTCATTAGTAATTTGCCTGGGGGAGTCTACCACAAAATCTTGCCAAAATATACTCAGTGGAGCTATGTTGGGCTTTGTTGGAGCAAAAAAGATACAGATGTCATTGACAGTTGTGTGGGTATCTTATAAGCATTTACCAAAATAGGGTAGATATGCCAATGGAGGCACTTTGTCCACCTGTATATCTAATGACTAAATAAAAATATAAAATATAGAAATGAAAAGGAAAACACAATTGAGAACTAAAATAATTCTAATTCTAGTATTTATTTTAATAACACAGCATTCACTTATTCAGTAAAAACTTCTATCACTACATAAGCACTCTTACTGATATATATGTTTGGTATTGATGTAAAAATCCTGAAAGTCTTATATTACATTTAATGTCATTTGTCCTCACTGTTATCAACATTATAATCCCTATTACCATTTTCCTTTCAAAGAGATCAAATAATATGGTTATTTTGTAGCAATGAGCAAGAATATAATCTATAATTTTATAATTAAATTACAAACTAAACTATTGTTTGTAATGAATATATATATATTTTTTAAGAGAATTATAATAATAGTAATAATAATAATAATAATAATAATAATAAAAATAGTAATAATAATAATAAAAATAATAATGATAATAATAATAATAATAATATTAATATTGATATTAATAATAATGACATTAATGATAATAAAAATAATAATAATACAACAATAATAATAACAACAAAACAACAATAATAATATAAATAACAACAATAATAGTAATAATAATAACAGCAACAACAGTAACATTACAAATAGAAATAGAAGTAAAAACTGAAATAAAATTTAAAAAAATGAAAATGAAAAATGAAAACGAAAATGAAAACCAATATAAAAATAATTACGGTAATATGGTAATGATTATAAAGACGACTATGATGGTGATTACTGTGTACACGAGATCCGCCACTCTATTCCATTCTTATAGTAGTTATTCTGCAATTCAAGTAGTTATATACAAAACTAGATACCTTTCTGATAAACAATTAAACTCACAAGGAAATATCAGTAGTGAAACCTTACCAATTAAGGTGGAATTTGAAGAAATAATTATGTATCTCTTGTCCAATCTTCAAGTTTTATGCCAATGAATTCTCCGCTCTTTGATCGGGATGTCTATTGCAGTCGTGGCACTAGCAGTTAGATATTTCTGTAATGCTTACCTTCTTCATACACTCCTCTGTTGCCGTAAATTATTCCTATCTGATAAAAGATAACAAGCGAGAGACAAATTTGCCGTTATATATCCACATTATATAGTATGGAAATGACTCTTTTGGCAAATCGCAATGGTCGTTGTGATTATAATCATTTTAGATAAACGAGTTGTGCCGGGTTGGAGTTAAAAAAAATAACATGATTAATCCCACAGTCCATTCCCTAAAGCAGTGGTTTCCAACATTTTTCAATATATAAATAATCTCCACGGCCCCGTTCATTGACTGTCATCTTTTCATATTCAGTTACTAATTGTTATGAATAATGTAATGATGTCAATAGCTATAGGACAAGAAATCTTTATGGAAAGATATAAATTTATTGATATGTGATATATAATTATATGTAGGTACAGTAGGTGAAATAAAATTCAGTTTAATTTGAGGTCAACATTTTCATATTGCTCCATGGCCCCCCAGAAAGCAACCCGTGGCTCCCTTGACGTGCGGGAATTACACACTAATAAAGTGAAGCGGCCTATAAGGATAGTTTCTTTGTTAAACATTTATCAGTTTGTAAGACTAATCATTTCAAAGAGAAATCTTGATGTGGCAAGTCTGGAAAACAATCATAATAACAGCCTTTTTTCATGCATCTACTGCTCTTTTATGTACTGGCATCGTGGCCTCATTATGATGTACTAACGTCGCTCGAGACTTTTTTTTAAGTCAGTGACATTACTTATAACCCAGTCTCCTCAGTGGATACCCATACAAATTCTCAAAAAAAATATTGATTATTGAAATACAAATAAGTTAAGAATTAAGAACATCTGTAAGTGATTTTTTTTTCGATTTTATTTGTCCCTCTTTATAATCTTCGTTCTGGTTTGATCGGCAACCCTTCCGGTGTCAAATGGCTCTAATACAAAGGACCATCCTTTCAACTGCAAAGAAATTACATCCTTTACGAAAATGAACAATCTCAGAGAATTACAGATTGCATTGCAAGCCTGAAATCGGAGTGAGGTCACTTTCCTCTCAAGTTTCTTAGAGCTATAGCATGAATGCGAGACCGGAATCAAGAATGGAACGGAACATGTCTCGACACAGTCTTTCTGAACGAGGCAGACCCAAATTCAGAATTGAAACATTTAACCCAAGTAAACACAAGAATACACCAGATTATGTTTTCCTTGAAATGGGGTGAGGGTGTGACAAATTCCCAACGTCCCCTTCTTCAAATTCCATTTTGTTGGCATAATCGGCACATAAATATCACGTGATGGTTGTGCTTGTCTCTCAACACATGGTTTCTCGAAATACACTATCATTCAGTTCTCAGTTCTCCTTTTTTGTCAGGACGTCGCACCTTATTAAAAACTTGTTCTGCTAATATTATGGATCATTTTGGTATTTTTTGGAGAGAAAATGAGATTGGTTCTTTGACCAATTTGCGAATTTGACCCAATTATTGACCGACTGTCTAACCCCCTGAACTTGTTTAATGGAAGACGTGCGGGATTCAGCAAGGATGTCGATTGGGTAAGGTACTAATAAGTAAAAAGAGAAAGGAAGGTCTAGGGCCGATTAGATCAGTTTCAGGAGATATGTCAGAAGGGAGAGAATTCAGGGAATGGGGTTGTGACACAAGGGAGTCATATGTGTATCCAGGGGAAGGATAGTGGTTAATGGTTAAAACAAGTAAATGTGCTCAACGTCAAAGGTCATATAGCACTATGGTAAATTGTGGTGAAAAGAGTAATAATGAGTTAACGATTAGGATAAGTGGGCAGAAGGGGATGAAGAAAAGGAAAAGAAAAGGGGGAGAAGAAAAGACCATGCAAATTTAGTTGAGGCTCATGTAGGGGTGATCCCCTACATTGGGCCTCAGCCTCCGTCTCCTAAGCCACCACGACAACAACGAGCAAGAGATTAGGGGATGTGTATCTCGGGGGAAGCGGAAGGGATACTGGGGAAGGGAGGATGATGCAGCTGAAGCAAGGGGTATGGGGTGTGTTAGAAGGGAGTGGGAGGGAGAGGTGTAGGGGGAACATGAGTAGGAGGAAGATTAGATGTCGGAAGTTAAGCTGAGTGTAGAGGGAATGAGAACAAAGACTGGAGGATGGGTGAGGTGTAGGCATATTATCTTGGGTCATAGTTTTGATTGGAGGATGGATGAGGTGTAGGGATGTTATCTTGGGTCATTATTAGATAGTTTTGAATGTCTTCGAGAGCTTCTGAAGTGGAGTGATTGGGGAGGTCTGAGAAACAAAGATTTTCTTAAGGGGAAAAGAGGGGACAGAGTGGCGGAGTGAGAGGTTAATGTTGGAGAGGATGCGGTAGATGGGGTGGAACGTTATCTTGACTTGTGCGATGAGTTAAGCGAGGAGGAAGAGGGTAGGTACTGGGGAAGTAGAGATTGGAGTATGTGGACTGGCGGTGGATATTGAGGTGCCTGGATTTAGAATGGTAAAAATATTTGACAAGGAGAGGAAGAGGGTTGAAGTGGGCTGAGGAAGAAACACAAGGGAAGATCTTGGGAGGGAGGGGAAGGGGTAAAGCGAAGGACAGTAATGGAGTAGGATCTGGCCTCACGTAAACTGAGGCCAGACAAAGCTATTGGTAGGGCAGCCCCTATGGGAGCTACCACAATTGGTACATGTGTGTGACTATGCAGAGCAGTTTGATCGATCATGACCAACTTGGGCACGTAGAGGGAATCGGGCTGTGGAGCGGCCGCGTTTGGCAGTGTGGCCGAAGATGCCAACTATTCTGACATTATGGGGAGGGGGGAGGGGAAGTTGATAAGGTCGGGCAGGTAGGGACTTTCCGCCAATAGCAACATTAATGGGGAGGTCATGTCTGCGGAAAGTAGTCTTGGCAATATTGACTTATATATACATACGGCGGCCTATAGGAGGAATGGTAATGCATTATACTGATACTGCATCATATTCCACAGGGCAGGCGATTTCACAATTTGACCAATCCTTGTCGTAAGCACGGAAGTTTATCAGGGAGACAGAGACAGTTTCAGTATGAGTACTGAGGGAGGACAGTAATGGAGTAGGAACGGATTTGCCGGTGAAGTCAGGGCTTATTATACTTTAGCCTAGGATTGGAATGTAACTATGACAAGGCGTGACCGATCGGGGCGGCTGCGAAAGAAAACTTTGGCTACTTGTTTTGGAGGCATTGCTGGAAGAGTGTTGTCAGAGTAAAGGGCTGTAGAGGGGATCGCCATAAAATCGATCCCATTAGGCTGGGCTAAACAGAGTATTCAAAAAGTCTGTAGAAGGACGGAAACGTGTTGAAGAGGGATCAGTCTTGAGAGAGGTAGTCTTGCGGAGAGATTGGCAATAAAGTTGTAAGTAGTAATGAGGGAGAGGGTAGTAGATGAAGAAAGCTGTGGGGTGGAGATGAAGTACAGGATGTTGGGAGTGGAGGAATGTTTTCTTTAGGTTGAGTAATGACCTGGATGAAGATTTGGACAGGACTGATGTGGCAGTAGGCACTGAGGTGAGAATAGTAGTAGCAGTGTACAGAGTCGTGGTCAAAGGAGAGCCTGGGGTTGGGGAATCGGGAGAAATTATATTTGTGGGGCTAGCAGAGAAAGGGGCACTCGTCGCCCCCAATCAGATGCAAATCCCAATTACTGGCCATAGCCTAGAGTATGGTGGAGAGAGAAAGTCCACCACCAGCGTCCCCTTGAGAGGTAACTAGACAGCTAAACAAGAAAATTCCGTACCCGCGGCTCTCACACATGAAGAAATGGATAATAGAAGGGCGTTGGAGGAGAGAAAGAAACGGAAAAGGGAAGAAGAAGAAAAAAGACCGTACACAATTAGGTGAGCCGAGGGCCGAGGCCCAAGCCGCAGGGGTAATCTCCAAGATTGAGTTCCAATATGTCTCCTACCCAGTGGCGTAGATAGAGGGGGGTCGGGGGGGAGAAATCCCCCTCTTGAGCAAAACTGCCATTTTGGCGGAAAATTGCTAATCTTGTCGGAAAATAATCATGAAGAAACGAAATTGCTTATTAAATTTTAGTCGGAAAATCTAAATTTCTCGCCCCCCCCCCATAAAATTTCCTATCTACGCCACTGCTCCTACCCCCCCCCCCCCCCGCAACATCGGGCTTGGGATTGGGGTGTGTGTGTGCGTGTCGGGAGGAGGGGGGCTTTTTAAGCGGCTCTGACCTTTTGGTGACTTTTTTTTCATGTCAACTCGACCTTGAAATCTCAACTACTTCTTAAGGACCCTTGTTAGCAGACATAACCTAATGACATTGACCTTTTAATAATAAGAAACTTCAATTACTTTTTTTTTAGGAAGCCATACATGTTTTTTGCAATAACAATGACCTCTTTTAGGAACTTCTGACCTTTTTTGTCACCCGGCTTTTTTACTGATATTTTCTATTTATAGGAAACTATACTTGGTCTTTGTAAACTAGCTTTTTGTGACATTTTAGTTACTTTTTGTGATATCTTTGACAGCTGACTTTTTCTTAACCATTTAATAACCAAAATTTGTAACCTTGACCTTAAGTTACATCTTTTATGATCCTGATCTCATTGCAAACATAACCTTTTCAGTAACATTTTGGCTGCAGATACCTTTGCAGTCCTGATATCTTACAAGACTGACTTTTCTGTGATCTTCAACCATTTAGTGATCAGTTGTTGCAGTTCTGAACTTATACCAATGATTTTTAGAGCCCCTGACCTTTGCTGTGATCCAAACATATCTGTGATCTTTTTGGGCCCTTGCTCTTATTATAATCAGTGACTGACCTTGATCTTTCTATAAAAAACAACTTTCAGCCTGATTTTCTTGTCCTTGACCAATTTTGCTGCTGACCTTTTCTCTGTAATAACCTTGTTACCCTTGCTAACTTTTTTTTTCAAACTAATTAAGGTGGGACTGGTCTAGCTATGATTAGGGGGACAGTGTCATAGGTTTTCAAAAATAGTGGTAGTGTGGTGGTAGCATAGCTAGACCGTTCCCAGTTTGGAATGGTCTAGCTATGTTCAGAGAGTTACTGTTGTAGGTCTTTAAAATAGGTGCTGGTTGTGGCTAGACCAGTTGGAACTGGTGTTGCTGTGTTCAGAGAGACAGTGTTCTACATCTTCAAAATTGGTTGGTGGTGATGGTGGTATTTGTGTGGTGATTATGACACAGTGATAGACATGACAGTAATAATTGACAATAGTAAGAAAATTAATCCCATTGATAATAATAATGGGAAAACATAATAAACACAATAATAAAATAAACAGAGCATCAAATCATTTGCATGAGTGCAATAGTGATAATTATCACAATAATGAGAATGACAAACATTACAGTTACATTGTACCTGTAATGAAAAATAGTAAAAACAAAAGTGGCAAACTGTAAATCTTATAATTATAATAGTAATGAAGATAAAAAAATATTTAAGATGGTTATAATATTCTAACAGTTTTTCATGTGTTATATGTTGCTCAAGAGCCCATATATAACTGTTATGTATCATTCACAACAAATCACCTTGGACACAAGAATACCAGTACTTAATTAACCACCTGCTAATCTGTAGTAAACTTTGAATAATGTATTGACTCTAAACTCTCATTCATGGTCATAAAACATAGTTTCCTTTAATATGTATTCCAGTTTTATTTTTAATCTAATGTTTGATAATGTAAAGCTAAATATCTAGCAGTTTCTGAATTAATGGAAATAATGTATTTTTATAGTCAAGCTACAATTTCAGAGAGAGTGACTAATTTTTTTTTTCAGAAATTATTTATTAAAAAATATCTCCATACATATAAAACAACAGAACTAAACCAGGGTTTAGTTACATTGATTTAGAGACAGCACATTGCACAGCACTTATTTGCAGACATATAGATGAATGTTAACAACTGTAGCACAGTAGATGGCTAAAGCAAAATAAATGTGCTAGACTTCTAAGGCCATGTAGCACTACAGGAAGGTACAGTAAAGGGTAGTGAAGGGTGGTTGAGTTAGTAGTTAGTTGCTATTCATCAAATATCTAGATTAATATTGAAAGTTTAAAGATGGGTAAAGGAGCTGATGAGTCAATGGGTTAAGATAGGGTTAGGTTAGGGGATTAGATCAAGTGAAGGATATGTATGCATCTGAGGAAGGAGAACAGGTTGACAAAGCAGAAAGAGTAAGATTCTGTAAGGGTGTCTGATAGGTGGGGAGGTCATTGAAGAGAGCAACATATCCTTTGCATGAGTGTAATAGTGATAATTATCATCACAATAATGGAGGGGGAAAGCAGGGATACGGGCTGCAACAAAGCATGGACAGGACAACAGAATCTGTGGAATTGTAAGGGGGATATTACATAAGGAACATAGGGGACATAAGGAACATATGCAGGTGAGAGCCATTTCCCAATGTCTGTTCTGATAAAATGGAACTGACCAGGAGGAGATTGATAGTTTTAGCGCAGAGACTTGACCAGAAAGATTGCCATTGGTTATACAAGATCTTAAAGTGGGGGTAATAATCCATGGCTAAAATATGCAAGAAATGTGTTTGGTTTGATGTGGACATAGCAGCAGAGTGTACTTGAGTATCTGCCAGTTCATTGCCGGGGATTCCAACATGGTTGGGACCCAGCAAAATCTGATAGTTTTACAGCATGTGTACAAGTAGAACAACCAGTTCTTACAGACAAGGGGGTTGGTTGAGTTAATGTGTTACAGGAGTCATTAAAAATAGTGAAAGAAGAAGAGGGGAGTAAGTAAATGTTTTAAAGCAGCAAAGTAGAAAATATCTTTATTCTATAAACTTTGTGTGTTCACTTATTAAGTTCTACTCAAGAAATATTGATGTGTTTACCAATACATCATATCCATTTATTAGGTGGATCTGAAACCTGATAATTTCCATTCACAATCCATATAATTTTGACTAATTCCATTAACATTAATTTCTCATTTCATCTGGGACTATTTCATAATGTTTTATATTTTCTTTCAACCATTCCTTCCACTTCTCATTGACAGAACACTCCAATGTAACTTCCTGGAAGACATCTGATCTTGTGGCTTCCTCAAAGTGCATTTTCTGAAACATGTTTATACTGGGTGTATTACTCAGGCCTATTTTAACCTGATATGTCTTCACCCCTAACTGCTCAATGCCATATCTAAACATGAGCAGCATGGCCTCCCAGCCTCGTCTTTGGCTTCTGAACTGTGGTTCTGCAATCATGATTTCTCCCTCTGCCCGAGTCCTGTCCTCCTGATCCACCAGGAAGAGGTTTGTGTCTCCAATCATGGCCTCATTTTCACTGTTCTTTTCAGCTAGAAGACATTTGTCCAGCACAATGAAAGTGCACTTATCATCATCAATCAGCCATGACTGCTGCATCTCATACTCTTCTTCCAGACTCAGAGGCTCTGAAGCTGTGAGTTCCTGTAGCTCTGGGGACAACATCCATTGGTGATACTTTTCCACATGCAACTTCTTGTATGGAACTAAGACTACTCGTTCACCAACTATGCGGATGGCGCTGTTGATCTTCATGTTTGTCTCTGGAAATAAAAAATATATATATATATATATATACACATAAGTATATATACACATAAGTATATATACACATAAGTATATATACACATAAGTATATATACACATAAGTATATATACACATAAGTATATATACACATAAGTATATATACACATAAGTATATATACACATAAGTATATATACACATAAGTATATATACACATAAGTATATATACACATAAGTATATATACACATAAGTATATATACACATAAGTATATATACACATAAGTATATATACACATAAGTATATATACACATAAGTATATATACACATAAGTATATATACACATAAGTATATATACACATAAGTATATATACACATAAGTATATATACACATAAGTATATATACACATAAGTATATATACACATAAGTATATATACACATAAGTATATATACACATAAGTATATATACACATAAGTATATATACACATAAGTATATATACACATAAGTATATATACACATAAGTATATATACACATAAGTATATATACACATAAGTATATATACACATAAGTATATATACACATAAGTATATATACACATAAGTATATATACACATAAGTATATATACACATAAGTATATATACACATAAGTATATATACACATAAGTATATATACACATAAGTATATATACACATAAGTATATATACACATAAGTATATATACACATAAGTATATATACACATAAGTATATATACACATAAGTATATATACACATAAGTATATATACACATAAGTATATATACACATAAGTATATATACACATAAGTATATATACACATATCTGTGCATGTGTGTGTATAATATATATATATATATATATATATATATATATATATATATATATATATATATATATATATATATATATATATACACACACACACACATACATATATACACATATATATGTATATATCAATATCTATATGGGGGGAGAGAGAGAGAGAGAGAGAGAGAGAGAGAGAGAGAGAGAGAGAGAGAGAGAGAGAGAGAGAGAGAGAGAGAGAGAGAGAGAGAGAGAGAGAGAGAGAGAGAGAGAGAGATTGCACACACATACATGCATTAGATGCACAAACATGCACACATTTATAAATCAAAATGCTTAAGCATATGCTCACACATACAAACAGAAAGAGACAGATAGACACACACACACACACAAAAGCTTAAAGCACACTCTGTTGGTAGATCACAGACCTCAGGGGATCAGTTATATTCTAATAGACAGCTTTGATAATTAGATCTGATGACCAGGGGCCATGACTAGGGTAGTTGTTACACTGCATTAGTTTCTTAATATTTTTCTGAATATCAAAAAAATGAATTGGCAAAAGAGCAAAACATGTATCCTAACAAGTATTTTAACAATGTTAGTGTTAGTGTCTGTATCATCAGGACAACATGGCCAGACTATGGGCAAAAAGGTTCTGTAGTATATATATTACATGGGCCGGCAGAGAGTTAAGGAAATAGTTCACAAAAATCTGGAAACTGAGATTTATCACAAAGATATATACTGCTGGTATATATTGTGTAACTACAAAATAAATTATGCAAATATGAAGGATCCATGTATGAAAAGCAAGCTTATTACAAGAAGAAGAAGAAGAAGAAGAAGAAAAAGAAAAAAACTAAGATAAAGAAAAAGAAAAAAATTAAGATGAAGAAAAAGAAAAAGAAAAAAATTAAGATAAATATTATTCACTTATTCCCATTCTGCAACATCCTTCATTTATTTTTTCATATATCCTGAAAGTTAATGAATTACTGTTAGACTGTGAAACTGGCCTTAATTCCTTCTATGCCTTGAAACTGGTCTATATTCTACATACTTTTGACTGTACCTACCCCTATTGTTACTATTAAGTCATAGTTTCATGCCAAAAATGGCAGGACAACCAGTGCTAATGGTAATAACTGCTCTAAATTTATATTCTTCCATCTTACACAATGCAATTAGAATACCTACACTGAAAACTGTGAGAAGAAATGAAGATGAATAAGCAGTTTAGAGTACACAATGATGTACCCCAATAGTAAGTCCCTGGACACACTACTTATGATTTCATACTGGGTAATATACAAAGAATCACCATTATCAATAAAATAAGATATGCAAAATAACAATGATACTATACATAAAACAATCAGAACACTAAATCCAACATTTATTAACACAGTCCTAACACTCACAAAGTATATGTATACACTTCATTATAAAACTGTTTTTGTATGCTAGGCAGAACCAATGCTCCACCCACAAACTTGAAATAATTGCAAGTTCATGGTATTACAGATAAGGCCTATTAATTTTAACTCACTTTTTTTGTCATATTTCAGGTCAAGTAATATTCTATAAAAAGTATAAACAAAACTTTAGACAAATGGTTCTTAGTATTCTTATACTTGCCCTCTAGGAAATGGCCCTTACCTCCAAATCCTCATTACATCTACAGATATCATTCACTGTGGGAGAATGATGAGAAAATGGGGCTCCTCAAACAAGGAATGGATAGGGTGAGGGATCCAGGATTACAGAAAGCTATAAGCCTAAACAGACTACCAGACACTGACATTAGTAGAGGTGAAACTTTTCCACTATTTTAAAAACTTCTAAATATCAGCCTCATTCTTGTTAAGAGAACAAGTACAATTACAGCAATGGATGTGTACCCCTCATTTAATGAACACTACTTTACCAAATATTTCTTATCCTTAAAATGAAGCTCTAATGGCCTCTAAGAAGCTGATTTTGATCAACCAAATCAGTCAAAACTGTGATTAAGATATTAAACTGTGAATGATATTAACCCACTGCCGCCAGGGAAATTAAACAAAAAATAGGGAGAATGCAGTACTCATTTTTTATATTTTTGTGAAATATCTCTGTCCATAGATGGCTCTTGTAGTCCTGATTTTACCTGTCCTTGAATTGGCGGGAAAAAATGTATTCTTACTAGTGCTATAAATATAGATGGTGTTATTTTTAACAGCAAATTAGGATAACATTAAATATTTCCGTAAACCGATGAAGAGGGTGAATGGGCGAGACAGTCACTACTCGTAATTGACTCATTGGATACTTAGTACAAGTGTAGCCATTTATGTGTAAAAACAATCGAACAAGTCGACTTGCAGTGGGCATGGCATGTACGTACATGCCATCCCCGGCGGCAATGGGTTAAGATATAAAGCACTGGTACTTAACCCAGTGCCGACGGGCATGATGTGTACATTTGTGCTATGCCCACTGTGAGTTACTTGTTTGATTGTTTTTACACATATATGGCTACACTTGTACTCAGTCACCAATGCTATAATGTTTATAAGATTATAGTAATTATAATGTTATAATAAAAATAACACCATCCATATTCATAGCACTAGTAAAAAATAAGTTTTTCCCGCCAATTCAAATCACGTAAGGTCACAAGTTCTACTAATTGACTCCTTTGTGGCTAAGCACTAGCAGAGCCATCTACGTGTAGAGACATTTCACAAAAATATTGAAAATGAGCACAGCATTTTCCCCATTTTTTATTCATTTTCTCTGGCAGCATTGGGTTAAGTACTAATCCTGGCTCATCCATTGATAATATCAGATAATATCAAGTCAGGGTCCCACTGTACAGCTACTGAAAAAGAAATTCATAATTTAGTATCATATACTGCCCAGTTGTCTAATCTCCAGTTTTCCTGATCATATATCTTTTATAGTATGAATAATCAAATCATGGTAACACTAATAAAATCCAATCTGGAAAAGACAAGAATCTTTATCCTTAAGTTGGACAACTGACAGCTTCTGCTACTTATCTAATAACTGAACCTTCTAGATTATTGTTCAAATATATGGAATACAGGAATATGTAAACATTTTTCATTAGCATCAATTATTTGTCTATTAAGAGTGCTTTTACTTCACAAAAAGTAAAAGAAAAAAAAAGAATGTTACTTATTTTCAACAACTGGCAAAACTAATATATTTATATTCTTTTCACAATAACTGGTACAGAGAGTCCCCTACTCATGAACATTCTACTTATGAAAATTCCATCCATACAAACAAAATTTTTAAAGTACTAAAGTCTAAAAAATTGTTTGAAAGATGCTAGCAAACTTCAAATTTCCCAGGCACGAATATAGTTCAAGAGTCTGGTACTGTACAAGGTATGTTGTACTTATTGGGATTTATTTACAGGTATTCTTAAAGTAAACAAAACTTTAAAACAATGGGAAAAAGGGTAATGGAGACCCGACTTTCGACAAACAAACAAATCAACTTACAAACAGCCTCTTGGTCCCCATTACCAACACTAACACTAACAAAGCACAGAAACTACAGAACAAGCTTATATGCAATAACTAAAGAATACTCTAAACAAACTGATAATATATCCAAGTAAAGGTAAAAGGTGCTAATATTTTCTAAACACACAAAAAAACTGGCAACACTTGCTAAATACCACAAATCACTAACTGATTTACTTGTAACTATAAATGGGAGTACACCAAAGTACTATCAAGTTACTCAATTCAAGAACATGCTGATAATACTTGATAATTATAGAAGCTCAAATTACAATATAAAAACAGCAAGCTAATTACACACTGTATACAGTATACAAGTGGTTGCCTAAACACACACAAAAAAGTTTCCTATTTAAATAAAAATCTGAAATTTAAAGCTGAATATCGAATAACGTGACAACTGTAATTGCAAACCTAATTACAGACACAAACACCAACTGCACGCAAAAAGTAGCATCACTAAACACAGAAACAACCCATTAAAAGCAAATATAAAAGCAAGTTGACAACCATTACCAATCAAAACAAGCTGACAGCAGTTACTAAATAAAGAAACAAACTGATAATAGCTACTAAATGAAAACCGTAAGACATAAACTACCGAAATACCATCGCGTACTGACATTACTTACAAAATGCAAAAGTGACGCCAAACTTGCGAAGTGTCAATGAATAAACAGCGAACGACGACGACGGTGTTTACATTACGCTCTCTGAACGGGGTGACTTTTTAACTTTTTCCCACTTTTCTTTTTTAGGTTCGCGGTAAATCGTGTGCGCTTTCACCTCCGATAATTATGAAGAGAACGAATACTACTCAGATAAATGATATATGACAAACTAATACCTTTATTGTCTAGTATATTCTCACCGCACCCTTCAGAATTACCAACAGTGTCAATACCTCAATATCAAGGATGATACAGAAAAAAGTATGCACTTTGACATAAATTCACATGTAATTGTTTATAGTAATACTATTTATCGATAAGTCGTTAGTATGCTGGAACAATGAGGTCCAAATTTACCAATTAAACTCAAAGTTGGTATTCCTGTCTTTATTTGCCAGAGGAAGCCAATGAAATTATGAACGGGGTTACTACTCCTACACATTAATAATACAAAAATTCGATTGCCGAAATATTCGAAAATGGTATAGTTGATTATAAAATCTTCCTAACAGAAATTGAATATATTTTCAGCTAAGATATTGGAGAATGAAAGTTTTCCTCCACTTCCCCCCTCGAGTTCCTCCATGCGCGTCGTGTGTTGTGTCAGATCGCCATTTGTGTTGGGAGTGAGAGGGGGTTCCGTGCGGTTGTCTCATTTCTTGGCCATTTCTCTGCTATTTCTAGTGATAAAAAGGTGCTTAGTGTGTTTCTAATGATGGAGGAAAGTGTGTATTGTGGATAGGGATGCGACTTCAATAGGAAAAGCATCCTGGTTTATGAGTATTTAAGTTTCGTCCCGAGGAAAAATGGCTCACTCCCAGTCTGTGAATTGTAGCTTGGATGACATCGACCTCAACGCGTTAAAGGTAAGTTCCTTTCTGTTCTGTTCTCGGCGGGGGAATGATGAGAGCAGGAGATGAGGAGGGATTGATGCAGTGGACCAGCGTTGGAAGATGGAGAATGTGGAGTCGGGGTGGAATGACGAAGGATTTTTTTAAGTAATAGAAGGATCTCCGTGTACCGCTTCCTGCCGTAGGATCTCTCGTCTCGCCAATTTTATCTCGAAGGCTTCCCTATTTCGCTAGATTTTTTGCTCTTCAGTTTCCCCCTTTCCCTGTTTTTTCCACTAAGTTCTAAAATTGAATGCTAAGTTACTTCGAAAGAGTGTGGTCTTGGTGTGGTCGGCCTGCTCTCTGGGGGGGAACGTGTGTTTAAAGTAGGCCTACCTGTGAGATATTTTATTCTTTGTTGTAGTTGTAATGTTTTTGGTGAATGTAGTTTCTTTGTTGCAGTTGTAATGTTTTTGGTGAATGTAGGCCTATTCTTTAGTTTGGATGGAATAGGTGAGGAACATCTCTTTGTGTAATTTATGAATGTTAGTTTTCCCGGGAGTTTGGGGTATTTTTTTCCAACCGCTTTAGATAATTTTGTCATAATGTCGAAAGGGAATATTTAAAGAAAAAAAAATTGTTTTGTGGTTGGGAGAAGGTAGTTGATGACCTTTCGTTGACACTTGTGTAATTGTAGATCCATTGTAGAGGAAAATGGGAAGCAGTGTCACTATATTTTACTTCTGTTGTAGGTCTTTTAGCAAAATCTAGGAGATGAATGTTTTGTGTAGTAACTTTAAAGAGTAAATGCAAACTAATCAGTAGTTTGCTCTATTGAGATGATTGGTTACTTTAAGGGTGAAGCCTACGAAAAGCAGTAATTTGTCATTTTCATGCAGCCATCCAACCTTGCAATTATTATTCTTTGTTTAATGCATGAATCTCTTATTATTTTCTCTCACAACTGATATAAATTAAAGTATTGATAATTGTTTTGAAGTGACTTCACCCTTCTGAGACTAAATCCTCAACACTCCTTGCTTTTCCACTAGTATCGCTGTATGAAAAAAAAATCACTATTTTCCCAACAGGGGTTCTGCCCCTAGACACCCACGATCACTGTGGACTTGCTCTCTGTGCAGCATTAGGCACAGTCTATTTTCTTAATTTCTAACATTCTTTGCTTGCACAGATTATTTCAAATATCAGTGAGTGTAGTTTTTCCTTTTCGTTATGATAGTGCGATTACATTTTCCTGTAGATGTGTATCAGAGTATTACATGTTGCACAACTTTCTTGTTATCAACTTGCAAAGGGAATACCATAGATGAACAGTGTTTAATTTCTGTCATTCTGCCCATTACCTGCAGAGTTTACCTTGTACCATATGGCTGTGTGAAAATGAAACTGTACCCACAGAGCATTGACTCTCAAATCTTTTGTAATTATATAATATGTGAACGGTAATAGAAAGTCCGAGAGGACTGCCATGAGTGCAAGAATACTAGTGCTATGGGAGGAATATAGACTCGTTGCTTTACAAGCTTACACTAAAGTATGGCATTGACATAATAGGAATGAGTTTTGGCAATATTATGGAGGTCTATGCTGCTTCCATTCATGCTTGAGAATAAAAAAAAATTACAATGCTAATGAAGCTCAAGCTGCATGCAGCAGTCCCATAATTAAGGTCTTGCTTTAATTGCAGTTTAGTATGAAAGTTTGCTGTTATCTTTAACTTTCTTTCTGCAAGTTGAAATGAAATCAGACTCATATGTGATATTTCCTTCATAAAGTAAAGATATGATTATTTGATACATAATTATGATATGCAAGAGCTGTTCCAATGATATACTGATAGTAATAAGCATGATTCTTTTGTCTTTTTTACTGTTGTTGAAGAATTTTCCAAACAAATGAATTGTTTCGGTAAAACTGCTTTCTGGTAAAGAAGAATGGAAACAAATGGTTTACAACAGAAAAGAACATCATATTAGTTTTAATAACAGTAAAATGAGTGAAAAAAAAATTGATTTACTTGTAAGTATTTATGATTTACTTAGTATATAGGCAATTGTGTACAGTATGAGCACACTCGCCAGAGATTAAGTCCCCAACTCCACCTCACAATATTTATTAAGTTGCTGTGACTGGGTCTGCCTATTGGGTACTGCCAGAAGGGAGGCTAGATGAAGGCTCAGCCCAACACAGCCCTACAAACATTGTCTTCATCTTGTGTACAGTAAGAAAGAACTGAAACTCGGGAGCACTTAGTGGACCTTGGCTGTGTGCATTGCTTTCTGCAATATTTTTCTTTTATTTGTGGGGTTATCATTTATGTCTGCAGAGTATTTCATGTACCAACAATTTCAACATTTAGTCCTCTACAAGAATATCATCTTTAATTTACTCTAGCTTTGTACATGCATACCTTAAAGATTAACCAGTTTATATTCATTGATATTGAACAGATCAGTTTTATGCCTATATAGTATAGCCTCCAGTGATAAAAACAAATACTCTTCCCAAAAGATGTCAGGGCTGTATTTGAGTACCTTACTGATAGTGCAGATTGCAGTCCTTAAGTGTGTTCCTAAATTACTGTTTTGGGATGATTGATGAGTTATCAGTTTATTAGTCATCACTGAGTGGTGTGATCATCAATAAGTTCCTGAATTATTCCCTTTTAAATGGCAGAAAACATAGATTACATGTAACTAGTCCCAATATCATCTTTTTGGTATGTTCTCATTTATGCATTAGCTACTGTGCAATCATATTACAGCAATGTGTAATGCAAGGCATTCTTATATTGGTGAAACTATTTTGATGTCTTTCCTCCTTAGGCCCATGTTCGTCTTCAGGCAGATAGAGGTTGTCATTTACTTTTTATATTCACATCTTGGTCCAGGAGATGGATTTATAAGTTGGAGATTCTTATTTGTTTGGCTTTACAAAGCCTCAGCACGATAAACAAACAACCAACATGTCAATTTAGTTTAACTCAGCTTTAGAAATAGATGTTTAAAAATAGGGCACTCAAGTACATATACAAATAATGCGTAATAGATAGGGATTTGGGAATGACTAATGTTAGAAATGCCATAAGTGGACATCCTGACTTATACTGAGTTAGGAAAGCATATGTTGCAGTTTGGCCACATATATATATCTTTTTGCACGAAATCAATTTCCTCTCATAGTGGCACGATTAAATTATAGTTTTACTTTTATGTCATATATGGTTCTTGAATACTGAGTCTAAATTGGAAGATGGGAGTAGAGATGATTTTGAAAACAGGCTTATAGACCTTCATCCCCACATTTATCTGTAAAGTAAGGATGTGGGCTGGCTGAAAGATAACTCGGATACAAGCTTTGTGGCTTTGAGAGTCTGAAGGTAGTAGGGATACTGCTTCTCTACTAAGGGAATGATACTGCAGAGGAATAAATAAACATGATTTTTTCAATAAGTTAATTTGCTTAATAGTTGGAGGTATTGCCTCACTTTTCTGTTTTTCATATTATATATGTTTTTTTTTATTCTCCAAATATATAACTTAAATAGAAATATTTTCTTTCTCTTTATTTACTTAATGTTCCATTGCAAACTACATTAAAGTAGAAAATCAAGAGTCTTTTATTAGCATTTGAAATGTGTATAGATGAAGTGTCTCCACTTTATCGTGTATCACAAATAACATGTATAATACTAGCATCACTTAGAATATGCTAAGGAGAACTAGATTCTAATCTGTGTGTGTGTGTGTGTGCGCGTGTGCACGTGTGCGTGTGCACTTATGTGTGTGTGGGTGTGTGTGTGTGGGTGTGTGCGCACATGTGCTTTTACTGAGTTACGGATTCTGGCATGTTGAACTAAGAATGTTAGAAGATATGATTTATTGCCAGGTCACTTCATTTGAAATATGATAGTCAGTTTATGATGCATTATAGGTAAATCTTTCACCATGGTTTACTGATTGTTTCAACCAGCCATAAGTTTATGCAGTCACCTAATAAATGAGATCTGTCATGTCATTGGTGATGGTTTGGGTGTGTATAGACTAGGTGAATATTGATGTCACAATCAAATTGATGTTATAATATTGGCTGTGCACAGATACTCACTTGTTAATTTGTTCTTTCATAATCATGCATGCATGCATGCATGTATGTGCAGGCACACACCAAACACAAGCACACACTTACTATGCACACACCACACACTTACTATACACACACCACACACATAGACACACCACACACATACACACACCACACACATACACACACCACACACATACACACACCACACACATACACACACCACACACATACACACACCACACACATACACACACCACACACATACACACACCACACACATACACACACCACACACCACACACATACACACACCACACACATACACACACCACACACATACACACACCATACACATACACACACCACACACATACACACACCACACACATACACACACCACACACATACACACACCACACACATACACACACCACACACATACACACACCACACACATACACACACCACACACATACACACACCACACACATACACACACCACACACATACACACACCACACACACACCACACACATACACACACCACACACATACACACACCACACACATACACACACCACATACATACACACACCACACACATACACACACCACACACATACACACACCACACACATACACACACCACACACATACACACACCACACACATACACACACCACACACATACACACACCACACACATACACACACCACACACATACACACACCAAACACACATACACACACCAAACACACATACACACACCAAACACACACCACACACATACACACACCACATTACATGTATGCACCACACAAACACACCACACACAGGCACACACCACATGCAGGATCACACCACATGCAGGCACACACCACATGCAGGCACACACCACATGCAGGCACACACCACATGCAGGCACACA